GGTCTAAGTCTGCGGACGGTGTTGGCTACTCTGTTGTTTTTCCTGATTGCACTTATATGTGTCGCTTACCTCCGGAGACTAGCATCTTCACAGATGCTAGTCTCTTTACGTGCTATTCTCTATGCTTTTCGTCTCCTGCTTTCTCGTTGTCAATCTTCCTTTGTAGTTGTTGTTGACTCTCGTAGTGCCCTCATGGCTCTTGGGTCCTTTAATCCGGTTCATAAAGTGGTTGTCGAGATCCAGCATTGGCTCTTTCTCGTTCACAGTCAATTTAAGTCAGTTGAGTTTTGTTGGGTTCCCAGCCATATTGGTGTCTCTTTAAATGAGCGTGTGGATGCTGCTGCCAGGGAAGCTGTCCGCTCTTGTCCCATCTCTCGTATAGGTATTCCTTATTCCGACTTTTACCTGGTTATCCATTCCTCCATCCTTACCCGTTGGCAGGCTTGTTGGTCGTCTGTTACTGGTAACAAACTTCGTACTCCTAAAAGTTGTGTGACCTCGTGGCCGTCCTCCTACCACCGTAACCGGCGATGGGAAATGACTCTGGCGAGGTTGCGTATTGGCCATACTCGCTTAACTCATGATCACTTGATGAAGCGCCGCCCTGCTCCTTATTGTCCTAGTTGTATTGTCCCTCTTACGGTCGTAAATATCCTTGTTGAATGTCCTAACTTCCGGGACGAGTGTGTGTTTTGCTTTCCGACCGTCCCCCGCAGTCGCTTGTCTCTCGATCATATTCTTGGTGACTAGGATACTTTTGATATCGTTCGCCTTATGTGTTTCTGTTCTCGTATTGGCATCCTTGGTGATATTTAGCGCCCTCTGATTATCCCGCACATTTGATGGTGCTACATAGCCTTCTCGGTTTGGTGCCTTCTTTAGATAATTACTTATTTTTGTTTCATTTCTCTCCCCCATCTTCTCCTTTCTATTGTCATTTCCCACTGACCTTGTGTCTGTTTTGATCATTGTTTTGGCCTTTTTTGTTTCGATGCCCGGGTGTTTGAGGAGGCATACTCTTGCACCTGTAGAATTGTAGTACCCAACGTCTCTAGCGAGGGGAAGCTTTTATTGTCAATCCTCCTTTCGTCACTGAACCCGATCGCGACATACTGACGGTTCATAAGGTGGCGTTGTGGTGCGTATACTCACGACACACCCCTAGGGAGCCCAGGCAAATTCAGCAATATGTCTCTTGTTGGGTGTCCTGCCTCTAATTGTGGCTCCGTGGTGGGTGTGGGGGGCACATTCGTGAATGAAAGTATTTCCTCTCGTCTGTTATGTCAATTAATGTTCCTCTTTTACCTTCTCGGGCTCATGAGGTGGGCAACCAACCCCCCGAGTTGGCCTGTGTTGGTAGACTGGGCTCTATAGCACCTGCTGCATTGGCCTCGACCTTGCTCTGACCCTCTTGACTACTTCCCTCGGCTCCCCTCCCTGCTCTGTGGTTGGGTCGAGCCCCAAGCCCCCAGTGGTGACCAGCTCGTCCCCTGGCACGGCTCCGTCTCTAGTTGGGACTATTGCGCCTTTTAACCCTTCTCTCTCTCTGGGGGTTCTCAACGCCGTCCTCGACACAGCTGCACTCACTCGATTCCTTCCCGTACTGATGCGTATCAAGCCTTGTTTGGTCCTGCTTCGTGGGCCAAATACTTTGATCTTCTCCCTCTTGATTCTATGCCTGACGGTTTCTCCCTCTGTAGGTACCTTGTTGATTTAGTAGATGCCTCTGATATCTCCACACCACCCGTCTCAGTACCTGGTTGATGGGGTTCTGGGAGTTCTTCTACTCACCAAGTCCGGCCCGAGGCCAGACTTTACTTGTGAGAGTTTGGTTCACCAGGCTGTTGCTTGGAGTGGCCCGCAGGCCCACATACCCACCACAGCCCGGTTGGTCCGGCACTCCTTGAAAGAAACAATCTAGTTTCCTTTTGAAGATGTCAACGGTTGTTCCTGTAATATTTCTGATGCTGGCTGGTAGGACGTTGAACAACCGTGGACCTCTGATGTTCATACAGTGTTCTCTAATTGTGCCCATGGCACCTCTGCTCTTCACTGGTTCTATTCTGCATTTTCTTCCATGTCGTCACTCCAGTACGTTGTTATTTTACTGTGCAGATTTGGGACCTGTCCCGCCAGTATTTTCTATGTGTATATTATTTGGTATCTCTCTCGTCTCCTTTCTAGTGAGTACATTTGGAGAGCTTTGAGACGATCCCAATAATTTAGGTGTTTTATCTCGACTATGTGTGAAGTATATGTTCTCTGTATTCCCTCAATTTCAGCAATCTCTCCTGCTCTGAAGAGGGAAGTGAGTACTGAGCAGTACTCAAAACGGGACAACACAAGTGATTTGAAGAGAACAACCATTGTGATGGGATATCTGGAGGTTCTCGTAATGCATCCTATCATTTTTCTGGCTGACGCAATACTTGCTTGGTTATGCTCCTTAAACGTCAGGTCGTCGGACATCATTATTCCCAAACCCTTGACATGCTTCTTTTCCTACTATGGGCAGATTCGATTGTGTTTTGTACCCTGTATTATGTTTAAGATCCTCATTTTTGCCGTATCTGAGTACGTGGAATTTATCACCGTTAAATATCATGTTATTCTCTGCTGCCCAATCGAAAACTTTGTTAATATCTGTTTGTAGTTTATCAATATCTTCAGCAGAGGTAATTTTCATGCTGATTTTTGTATCATCTGCAAAGGATGACACGAAGCTGTGACTTGTGTTTTTGTCTATGTCTGATATGAGAATAAGGAACAGCAGTGGTGCAAGGACTGTACCTTGAGGTACAGAGCTTTTAACTGCGCTCGGACTCGATTTTATTTGATTGACTGTTATTTTTTGTGTTTTGTTCGACAGGAAATTGAGTATCCAGCGTGCTACTTTACCAGTTATACCTATTGACCTCATTTTGAGCAATCACTCCATGGTCACATTTGTCGAATGCCTTTGCAAAATCTGTATATACGACATCTGCATTATGTTTTCCTCTAATGCCTCAGTGATTTTGTCATAGTGGTCAAGTAGCTTTGAGAGGCATGATCTTTCTGCTCTAAATCCATGTTGGCCAGGATTGTGGAGGTCATTGGTTTCCATGAATCTAGTGACCTGACTTCTGATCACTCTCTCAAATACTTTTATTATGTGGGACGTTAGTGCAACTGGTCTATAATTCTTTGCCAATGCTTTGCTACCACCCTTGTGTAGAGGGGCAATGTCTGCTGCTTTAAGCGCATCTGGTATCTCCCCTGTGTCCAAGCTCTCCTCCACACTATACTGAGTGCCTGTGCTACTGGCACTTTGCATTTCTTTATAAATATTGAATTCCATGAGTCTGGACCCGGGGCTGAGTGTATGGGTATATTGTCAATTTCTCTTTCAAAATCTACCACGCTCGTGCAGATATCAGTTATATTTACAGGTTTTTGAATATCATTCATAAAGAAATTATCCGAATCTTCCACTTTCATGCTGAGTATCGGAGTGCTAAACATGTCCTCATACTGCTTTTTTAGGATTTCACTAATTTCTTTGTCATCCTCAGTGTATGAACCTTCACTAATACGAATAGGTCCAATTCTGGCAGTGGTTTTCGCTTTTGATTTAGCATATGTGAAGAAATATTTTGGGTTTTTCTTTATTTCTTGAATTGCTTTCTGTTCTAGTTGCCTTTCTTCAGTCTGATAAGAATGCTTCAGTCTCTGTTCGATTTCTTCAATCTCCCTGTTTAAATGATTTCTTCTTTGTTTGGAGAGTCGTGTCTGCTTAAGCACTTCCGTTAATTTCTTCCTCCTTTTGCAATGTCGTCTGCGTTCTCTTTCTACATTGGACCTCTTTCCAGCTTTCCTCAAAGGAACATGTTTCAGACAGACTTCATATGCTTCAGAAGTCAGTTTTTCTATTCCTTGTGTAGGATTTTTATTTCTTAGAACTTTTTCCCATTGAATGTTTGTAAGTTCCCTGTTTATTTTCTCCCAGTCTATCCTCTTATTATTAAAATTGAATTTATTGAATAGCTCTTCTCGCTTGTTTCTCTTGGGCCTACTACCGTTATTAATGTTATTTTGCACTTCAATGAGCTTGTAGTCCGAGTACGTAGTGTCTGAGACAGTAATGTCTCTAATTAGCTTCTCATTGTTCGTGAATATCAGGTCCAGCGTGTTTTCGTTCCTAGTTGGTTCTGTAATCTGCTGACTGAGCGAGAATTTGTCACAGAATCTCAGTAGTTCTCTGACCTGTGGTTGGCTATTTCCAGGTTGACTTCCTGCTATAATGTTATTCTTTACTATTCTCCATTTTTAACTGGGTAGATTGAAGTCTCCAAGGAAGATGATGTCTGGTACTTGGTTTGCTAGGTTATCAAGGATATTCTCTATTTTGTGATTTCCAATTTATGATAATGGGAAAATCAATAACATATTACCGATATATAATAGAAAGGAAATTAAACACATGAAAGAGTTTAAAAAATAATTAAAAAATAATTACAATTTTAATTTACAAATTAAAATTTTAATTTATAAATACCCAAATTTTTTTGGTAGCGACCCGTCACCAGCAAACCGAGAAAATACGTTATTTAGTTTTTTTAAGATTTTAAAGTTACAGAGAAAAAATGCAACATACTTTTGAACTCGGTTTATAATGAACGAAATTTTTCCGCAACAATTTCTATGTCTCTATGTTTCATAATATAGTGAACGGCGTCATTATGAAGCGTCGTTAGTGGCGTGAATTAAGCACACACACACACACACACTCACACACACACACACATATATATATATATATATATATATATATATATATATATATATTGTATGTAATTTTGTTTGCATATATTATTAAATATTTATTTTTTTGGCTCAATAATACAAATACTTGATGTATTTTTACACGTATTTATTGGGTCGTCCCAGCTCCTGGGTCGTCCCAGCTCCTGGGTCGTCCCAGCTCCTGGGTCGTCCCAGCACATGGGTCGTCCCAGCACATGGGTCGTCCCAGCTCCTGGGTCGTCCTAGCCCCGGGGTCGTCCCAGCTCCTGGGTTGTCCCAGCTCCTGGGTCGTCCCAGTTCCTGGGTCATCCCAGCTTCTTGGTCGCCCTAGCTCCGGAGTCGTCCCAGCTTCTGGGTTGTCCGAGTTCCAGGGTCGTCCCAGCGCCTGGGTCGTCCCAGCTCCTGGGTCGTCCCAGCTCCTGGGTAGTCCCAGCTTCTGGGTCGTCCCAGCTCCTGGGCCGTCCCAGCTTCTTGGTCGTCTCAGCACATGGGTCGTCCCAGCTCCGGGGTTGTCTCAGCGCCTGGGTCGTTTCAGCACATGGGTCGTCCCAGCTCCTGGTACGTTCCAGCGCCTGGGTCGTCCCAGCACATGGGTCGTCCCAGCACATGGGTCGTCCCAGCACATGGGTCGTCCCAGCTCCTATGTCGTCCTAGCTCCTGGGTCTTCCCAGCTCCGGGGTCGTCACAGTTACGGGGTCGTTACAGCTACGGGGTCGTCCCAGCTCCTGGGTCGTCCCAGTTCCTGGGTCGTCCCAGCTCCTTTGTCGTCCCAGCTCCTGGGTCGTCCCAGCTCCTGGGTCGTCCCAGCTCCTTTGTCGTCCCAGCTCCTGGGTCGTCCCAGCTCCTGGGTCGTCCCAGCTCCTGGGTCGTCCCAGCTCCTGGGTCGTCCCAGCTCCTGGGTCATCCCAGCTCCTGGGTCGTCCCAGCACATGGTTCGTCCCAGCTCCTGGGTCGACCCAGCGCCTGGGTCGTCTCAGCACATGGATCGTCCCAGTGCCTGGGTCGTCCCATCACATGGGTCGTCCCAGTGCCGGGGTCTTCCCAGTGACCAGGGTCGTCCCTGCTCCTGGGTCGACCCAGTGCCTGGGTCGTCTCAGCACATGGGTCGTCCCAGTGCCTGGGTCGTCCCATCACATGGGTCGTCCCAGTGTCGGGGTCGTCCCAGCACTTGGGTCGTCACTGCTCCTGGGTCGACCCAGCGCCTGGGTCGTCTCAGCACTTGGGTCGTCCCAGCACATGGGTCGTCCCAGTGCTGGGTCATCCCAGCTCCTGGGTCGTCTCAGCTCCTGGGTGGTCCCAGAGCCTGGGTCGTCTCAGCTCATGGGTCGTCCCAGGCATAGTTATATCTAGAAAAAGCAGTTTTTTTGTGTGAATTAGTAAACCTGCTGCTAGTTTCTTTATTCATATGTTCTTATTCTTACATGGAGATTTTATTATGAATAAAATAATTATAAATTATGAATTTGACAATAACATGATATAGGACAAAATATCAGGAGCAGGACGCGAATCGAACTCGGATGAAGTGATTATGTTGCGCGTCTGGAGATTCCCCCAGAACGCTCGTTCGAATCCTCGCTCTGTTCCGAAGATTTTGCTCACAGATCTATGATATTATTGGGATTTCATTCAGTGTTTGAAGAGAGTTCCATTTCCTACAATTTCCTCTAACCCTCATCACGGATCCTGTGGATTTGTTCCAACAATTTCTCCATTTCCCCCATTTCCAGTTCTGGTGTAGGAAATAGAGGACTCCACTTCCTTCACCAGAGTGGTTATGAGGTTGTGTGTGTGCAACTTGGAGTTGACGCCAGCTTTTAAGCCAGCTTGAGAGCCACCTTGAGAGCCAGCTTTAGAGCCAGCTTGGGAGCCAACTTGGGAGCCAGCTTGGTAGCCAGCTTGGGAGCCAGCTTGGGAGCCAGCTTGGGAGCCAGCTTGGGAGTCAGCTTAGGAGCCAGCTTAGGAGCCAGCTTGGGAGTCAGCTTGGGAGCCAGCTTGGGAGCCAGCTTGGGAGCCAACTTGGGAGCCAGCTTGGTAGCCAGCTTGAGAGCCACCTTGAGAGCCAGCTTTAGAGCCAGCTTAGGAGCCAGCTTGGGAGCCAGCTTGGGAGCCAGCTTGGGAGCCAGCTTGGGAGCCAGCTTGGGAGCCAGCTTGGGAGCCAGCTTGGGAGTCAGCTTGAGAGTCAGCTTGGGAGTCAGCTTGGGAGCCAGCTTGGGAGCCAGCTTAGGAGCCAGCTTGGGAGTCAGCTTGGGAGTCAGCTTGGGCGCCAGCTTGGGAGCCAGCTTAGGAGTCAGCTTAGGAGTCAGCTTGGGAGCCAGCTTGGGAGCCAGCTTGGGAGTCAGCTTAGGAGTCAGCTTGAGAGTCAGCTTGGGAGTCAGCTTGGGAGCCAGCTTGGGAGTCAGCTTGGGAGTCAGCTTGGAAGTCAGCTTGGGAGTCAGCTTGGGAGTCAGCTTGGGAGCCAGCTTGGGAGCCAGCTTGGGAGTCAGCTTGGGAGTCAGCTTGGGAGACAGCTTGGGAGTCAGCTTGGGAGTCAGCTTGGGAGTCAGCTTGGGAGTCAGCTTGGGAGTCAGCTTGGGAGACAGCTTGGGAGTCAGCTTGGGAGTCAGCTTGGGAGCCAGCTTGGGAGTCAGCTTGGGAGCCAGCTTGGGAGTCAGCTTGGGAGTCAGCTTGGGAGCCAGCTTGGGAGCCAGCTTGGGAGTCAGCTTGGGAGCCAGCTTGGGAGTCAGCTTGGGAGTCAGCTTGGGAGCCAGCTTGGGAGCCAGCTTGGGAGCCAGCTTGGGAGACAGCTTGGGAGACAGCTTGGGAGTCAGCTTGGGAGCCAGCTTGGGAGCCAGCTTGGGAGCCAGCTTGGGAGCCAGCTTGGGAGCCAGCTTGGGAGCCAGCTTGGGAGCCAGCTTGGTGCCTAGTCTGATGGCACATTCTGCCCAACAAAACACCGTGAGAATATTTCGTACAATAATACTCGGAGCTTAGCAAGGTTCAAAATATATATTAACATGTACATATTGTTTACATCTGAATACATATTTTGTTACATACGCGAGAGCCTTCATTATTTACCATGGGGGGGGGGGGGGGAGATGTGGGAGTGGCGTTGGCGTGTGGGAGTGGAGAGACATGTAAATAATTGTATGTGTGTGTAAATAACATCAACACGTTATTATAGTAGTAAAAACTCCCCCAACAAAGCCAAAGAACTCCTTCCTATCATTCTCAAATGTTTAAAATAAATATTCTTCCAACTTCAAGTCTTTGGAGAGGCTTATAACTTTGTCCTTTTTACGCGATAACAAGATAACCCTGACGGTCGACATTTGTTTGCAGCGATGACTATTCCGGAGTTATGGTCACACAAGTTATGTCAACACAGGAGCTGTGATCATAGGATGCTCGCCTCGACCACTGCTATTAATAAGAACATCTTGATCAGTACAGCATCCTTCAGTTTCTGATTGGGAGAACATTTATTCACCTTCAATCCTTGAATGTTTAATTTGGTCAATAAATATTTTCGTGTTTTTTATTATCCAATATTGATGTGAAATGAATGATACAATATTGTTGTGTGTGTGTGTGTGTTTATCAATATCATATCCTCCTGCAATCATTTTGATTACCATTCACAAATGCAATTAAAATGTTGGACCAGCATTGAAATTGCAAATAGGTATAATAGAATTTAGTGCACCAATCCATTACGGCTACACAGCACTGGAAAGTGATCAGGATAAGGATTTGGATGGGACGGGGGGAGGGGAAGGAATGGTGCCCAACTACTTGTGGATTGTCGGGGGGATTAAACAATGACCTGCATGAAGCGAGACCGTCGGTCAACTGTCCACCCCAAGTGGTTGGTATCCTTCGGAAATCACACCTGAGTTCTCTATGTCATCCCATAACAGGAAAAAGATGGGTTACCTGGTAAACAAGCATCGAATGATTCCGCGATTGAACGGTTGGGGTAAGTAAGTAATTATCAAAAGAAGGCACCAAACCGGGAAGGCTATGTAGCACCATCAAAGACGCAAAATAATCAGAGGGCGCTAAATATCACCAAGGATGCCAATACGAGAACAAAAACGCATAAGGCGAACGATATCAAAAGTATCCGAGTCACCAAGAATTCTATCGAGGGACAGGTGACCGCGAGGGGCGGTCGGAAAGCAAGACACACGCTCGTCCTGGAAGTCAGGACATTCAAGAAGGACATGCACGACCGTAAGAGGGACAATGCAACTAGGACAATAAGGAGCAGGGCGGCGCTCCATCAAGTGACCATGGGTTAAGCGAGTATGGCCAATACGCAACCTCGCCAGAGCTGTTTCCCACCGCCGGTTACGGTGGAAGGAGGACGGCCATGAGGAAACACAACATTTAAGAGTACGTAGCTTGTTACCAGTAACAGACAACCAAGAAGCCTGCCAACGGGTAAGAACTGAGGAATGGATAACTGGGTAAAAGTCGGAATACGGAATGCCTTTACGAGAGATGGGACAAGAGCGGACAGCTTCCTTAGCGGCAGCATCCGCACGCTCATTTAAAGACACACCAATATGGCTGGGAACCCAACAAAACTCAACCGACTTAAATTTACTGTGAACGAGAAACAGCCAATGCTGGATCTCGACAACTACTGGATGAACCGGATTAAAGGACCCGAGAGCCATGAGGGCACTACGAGAGTCAACAACAACCACAAAGGAAGACTGACAACGAGAAAGCAGGAGACGAAGAGCATAGAGAATAGCATAAAGTTCTGCTGTAAAGATGCTAGTCTCCGGAGGCAAGCGACACATATAAGTGCGATCAGGAAAAACAACAGAGTAGCCAACACCGTCCGCTGACTTAGACCCATCGGTGAAGACAGAAACGGAGCGGGAGTGAGAAGAAAAGTGCTCGAGGAAAAGGCGTTTTAGAACCGTAGGAGGGGTAAAAGCTTTAGTGATACGGGTCAAGGAAGTACAAAACCGCGGAAGAGGGACCCTCCACGGGGGCAAAGAAGGAACAACACGAGGAGAAACATCAGAAATACGAACGGAGAGAGAATCCTGTAGGCGAGATAACCGGACAGAAAGAGGGAGGTGGTGAAGAGGAACAGGAACCGCAGGAGGGGTAAAAGTTAAAGCACGACAGAGGCGAGAGGAAGGATGTTGCAAGGACCGCGCAAGATAGCGAAGACAGTAGCGATCACGGCGGTCCTGGAGAGACAGGAAGCCAGTGTCAACATACAAGCTAAGGATGGGAGTCGAACGAAAGGCACCAGAACTGAGGCGCAACCCAGTATGGTGCAAAGCATCAAGACGGCGAAGAGTAGAAGGAGAAGCAGACGAGTAAGCAGGGCAACCATAATCGAGCTTAGCCAGGACGAGAGAGGAATGTAAAGCAAGGAGAGTGCGTCTATCTGCCCCTGCCCCCCAAGAAGTATGGGACAAGACCCGAAGGAGGGTAAGGGCCTTAGAGCACTCAACACGGAGGTAAGAGATATGGGGAGACCAAGACAAACGAGTGTCAAGGAATAACCCCAAAAGCTTCGCGGAATCTTTGTATTCAAGGGGATGACCATAAAGCGACAAAGAGGGACGAAGAACAACCCGTTTCCGCGTAAAAGTCATGGCACAAGTCTTAGAAGTAGAGAACTTGAAGCCATGACCTGTGGCCCAAGACGACACGGCATCAATCGCAAGTTGAAGCCGGCGTTGAAGGAGAGGCGAATCATCACCCTGACAACAAAGGGTAAGATCATCGACATAGAGAGCGGAGAAGACACCAGAAGGAAGAGAGGAAAGAAGACCATTGAGGGCAACAAGAAAAAGAGTAGTGCTCAGAACACTACCCTGGGGCACACCTTCGTATTGCTGAAAAGAGGGAGAGAGAGCGGTACCAAGGCGCACCCGAAAGGAACGACGAGAGAGGAAGCTGCGGAGAAAGAGAGGGAGATGACCACGAAGGCCAAAAGAATGAAGTTGAGATAGGATATGATAACGCCAAGTGGTGTCGTAAGCCTTTTCTAGGTCAAAAAGGACGGCAACAACGGAGGTCTTCGCAGCAAAAGCAGTACGAATATAGACCTCCAAGTTCACCAGGACATCTGTCGTGCTGCGGCACTTGCGGAAACCAAATTGAGAAGGGGAGAGGAGGTGATGGTGTTCCAGGAACCACATCAGACGAACGTTAACCATACGTTCAAAGAGTTTGCAGACACAACTTGTGAGAGCAATAGGGCGAAAGTCCTTAGGGGAAGTACCCAGAGACCCCGGTTTGCGAACAGGGAGGACAACGGCATCGAGCCAGTCCTCAGGGACTGACGACGACTCCCAGATCCGATTATACAGACTCAGTA